CGGAGGGAGCTGGAGGGGCTGAGGATGGGCCTGCAGGAACCGCTGCTGGAGGGGCTGCAGCCGCTGCTGGAGAAGGCGGTGGCTCTGCTGCGGAAGACGGACTGCTGGGAGGTTGCCTGCCTGGAGAAGGGCCTGTGGGCGGGCCCGCTCAGAGAGGCGGAGGCCGCCCGGAGAGAAGCCGGAGCCCTGCGGGAAGCCCTCCGGAAGGTCCCCCTGGGGCAGGGAGAGGCGGCCCTGCAGAGGGCTGGGCAAGAGGCTCCAGTGAAGGAGGCGCACCTCCTGTGGGAAAGGGCGGCGGCCCTGGAGACCCAGGCGATATCCTTCTGGTCAGACACACTGAAGGGGGCAGATGACCTTCTGGGGAAGGTGGATACCCTGAGGGCAGCCCTCCAGAACTCCTCCTTGAAGGAAGCCCTGTGGGAGAAGGTGGAGGATCTTCGGGATGCCTTGAGGGAAACCACAAGGGAGAAAGTCAGTGTTCTGCCCTTTAACATGTGGGAAAAGACCCCCCGAGAGATTTGCAGCCGCCTCCATCACCTTTGCCGTCAATGGCTGCAGCCAGAAAAAAACACCAAGGCTCAGATGCTGGACTTAGTGATCCTGGAGCAGTTCCTGGCCGTCCTGCCTGCGGAGATGGCGAGCTGGGTGCGGGAGTGTGGAGTGGAGACCAGTTCCCAGGCGGTGGCTCTGGCGGAAGGCTTTCTCCTGAGCCAGGCAGAGAAGAAGCAGGAAGAGTTGCAGGTGAGAGAACATCATCTCAGAAGCTACGAATTAAGAGTATGTTTGCATGCAATGGACATCGGGGTCTGCAAAGTTGAGGGCTTTTCTGTGTACCCTTATTTCTCCTTTCCTTCTCCTGGTATGTCAGGTCCAGCAGCCCTTTCTGGAGGCCATCCCCAAGCATCCCAAAGGAAGGAGAGATCCGTCAGATGTCTCCCAGGAGCTGCTTTTCAGGAGGATGCCCCAGGAAGACTCAAGTTGGGACACCTCAGGAGGTAAGGGGAGCCTTTCCAAGGGACCTGAAGTTCTTAAGAAAGATTCCAGTGATCTTGGATTGTCTGAGTCCTTTCTATAATGTTGTCTGCTGTTCTTTTAATTTTGCTTATAAAATTCTGCTTCAACCGTATTTGGTTCCCATACAGGAAATCAAATTGTGCCCTTGTTATTTCTAGGATCATCTCTTTTTTCTGGTGGAGCTAAAAGAGTGGCTGAACCTCCAGTTCAGGTAGGAGAGAAACGTTAGTGAAGATACAGGGTTAGGGTTAGGGTTAGGGTTAGGGGATCATTCGGTGTCCTCCTGTTTCATTCTGGGACTCAAGAGCATTACTGTTCCTAAGCAACCTGAAATGGAGAATGGTAGAATCAGTTGTAAGGTCCCTTTCAGGTCATGCTGAATGACCTGGGGAATTCTGGGAGTTGAAGTCCACACACCTTAAAGTTGCTGAGGTTCAGAAACATTGCACCAGAGCATCTCTGACAAATGACTGTCCAGTTTTTGAAGCCTTGCCACTTCATGTGACAGCCTGTTTCCCTGGCTGGCAGCTCATACAGTCAAGAAGTTCCACCTGATGTCTAGCATGAACCTCCTTCCTTATAATTTTAATCCATTGGTTCTGATCCTGCCCTTCGGTGCAATAGAGAATAACCTGAGTAAGAATAAGTTCTCAGATATCACTTTCAGGTATTGGTGCTGTCCTGTCTCTTCTTAGTTATCTTTTGTGTAGATTTGATATACCCAAATCCTTTACCCATTCCTTATTAGGTTCGATTTCCATCCCTGCCCTTCACCATTGTGATAGGCCTCCTCTGAACTTGCTCCAATTCGTCACCATCCTTTCTGAACTATGGTGCCCAAACTGGATATGTGAGATTCTGAATGGGGCAGAGTAGAAGGGAATAATCATTTCTATGATCTGGACTTGATACTTCTTTTAATGCAACCCAAGATAATGTTTGCCTTTTTAGCAGCAGAATTACAGCACTGGCTCATACTTAACCTGTGGTCAGAAAGGACATCAAGTTCTCGTTCATATGTGGTTACAGGTAGTGTCAGGCCCAGCCCAAGAACAATGATGAAACAGTCCAGTCGAGTCCAGTTCCTTTATTTGCTTACCCCTTATAGATGGAATCTTGCCAGACTAAATCTATACCACAGCAACTAGTGGATCTACCCTGGGAGATTCTAGGGAGCGGCTATCCTGAATCTCTTAACTCTTCTCATGCTTCCCCTGCGGACTGTGTTGCCTCTTACCTCCTCCCCGCTCCTGGAATGCCCCCCCCTTCCTGATAGCCTTGATCTCCCACATCACTCTCCTCCTCATAGATACATTCCATCACAGATAGTCCTCGACTTACAACAGCAATTGGGACCAGAATTTCTATCGCTAAGTGATGCAGTCATAAAGCACAAACGCATTGCTTATTGACGGCGATCCCTGCAATCCTGGTTGCCATCATTAACTGAATCCCATGGTTGTTAGGCGAGGCAACCTCCCCCCGGTCTCCCCCCACCAAAACCTCACGGGGGAAAACCAAGGCGGGGTGTACCGATCCGCCCCACAAGGCAGAAAGGGGG